AGGCTGGATAAACAAAAAGACTATTGCGCAATGTAAAAAAACTTTATTCATCGCGTAAGAGTATACTCGCAGGAAAAATGCGGTTGCCGCGCAAACAACTAACTACGAAGTAGCTGCGAGTGGCTTGCACTCCTTTGAAGACTCCGGGGACTCGGTCCACTGACTGTTCTTGATCTCACAGTTTGATTCCCTTGCTGTCACCGACGCCTCCCCGTTGGTGTCCCTCAGGAAACAAAGAATAACCATCTGGAGGGTAATAATGCCAGCGTAGATCGTCAGTGGAAAACCGTGTTTGACGCTAGAGTCGAGGCGATTTATGAGAGGAAACCAGAATACACCCACTCTGGCCAAACCGGCACACACCCCCAGTCCACGGTTCCTGTAGACCGGACTGTACAGCTCAGGAACGTAGACAAATACCATTTTAGACCCGGTAGTCAACATCATTGTAACAACAGCCATCAGGACATTAAGTGCAATGTCGTTTTTAGGTTGTAGAATGATTGTGTACAAAGAAGCGATCCAGAGAACGGCTGCTGTAACGAGGTAAATAACCATTAACGGCCTCTTGCGAAATCGAAAACAGCGATAAAGACCGGCGAACAGCAAGGATCCCGGTATGGATGCGACAGCATTAATCATGAGCACATAGGAGGTGTAGAGACGTATATTTGCCGAATAGAAGGCTATTCCAAACACGCAGGTTAGGTGGCCAGCAATGAGAATTGTACAGAGTAAAGTCGTAGCCACCATCGTACGATTAAAGAGCTGAAAAACTGTGAATTTCCCCGCGCGCCTGGCGAAGTGCCCAGACCTGACAATGTCCTGCTCGGCAGACTTGTCCTTCACCGATTCGTCAGGAACGCCAATCAGGGCGAAGAATTCTTTTCGACTCACAAGCGGACTCCGCTTTGACACAGACGCAAACAGGTTTCTGACGTACGCGTTCATTCGATACCCACGATACAGGACATCTCCGGCATCTCTGTATCGTGCACGGGCAACAAGCCACTTCGGAGACTCTGGCAGAATGAAGAACATGATGAAGATAAGGCTATTCGCCACCACCAATGAGACATTTAACCATCGCCAATTCGTCACATACAGGGCTACAACCGCCAACAAAATACGATGGAGGGTCATCTGCGTAATGGAAGAAACCGCCGAGATCAGTGATCGATACTTGGCAGTAGTTATTTC